GTGGGGCTGGGGTTGAGGTGGTGGCAGGAAGGGAAGTGGTCAGTCCTCTTTGGAGGGAGGACCTTGGGTGTGCTCTGCTGCCCTCTTCTGGCCACACAAATCATTGCTGCCCTTATCTTGGGCTTGGAGAATTTGGAGGGTGTGTTTGGCCCTTTGGGCAGGTGGCAGGTCATGGTGACCTTAGTTGTAGGACCGTTGCACAGAGCTCACCTCGACCCACCTAAACCCTCATGGCCTTAATTGAGCCAATTTTACAAGCAAGCACTCTCCCTGTTTGGGGGAGCCTTGGATAAGGGATGGGGGGAGGAAAACAATGATCCACACCAGGAATGAGATGAGGGAAAGGGCAAGAGGGTCACCGCCATGGTCTCCCTGGTGGCCAAATCAAGGGGAGGTTCCCACAATTTCACCCTGGCCTGAACGGTCCAAGCCCTGCCTCCATTCTCAACTTTGTCTATTACAGGGCTTGGCCTTGGTTTACTCAGCTCCTGAGCATCCTTTCAGGGGAAGGAAGCCCCCTCCCTAGCCTCAAAAACACTTCTGCCTGCAACGGGAGGCCCTGTGCCTTCTCCAGGGTGTTGGTTTATGTTAAATCTTTGCAATGACCACACCACTGAGGAGAAGAAAACAGTTCTGACTCTAGAAGGCTCCCTGGGCACTTCAAGCCCTTCAAGACCCACACTGTTCTCCACACTCCCCCAGCCCCGACCCAGGCATCTTTCTGGGCCTGCAGCTCCTCCTACTGGTTCTGCTCCAGTTGAACATTCACAGTGAAGGCTAGGTGTGAGACTAGAGCCTGGGTTTAACGCAGTGGCCTTTGAGGAATGGGTAAGTAGTCAGGGAGGAGACCCCCAAACCAGCCTCTGGAACACTAAGGTCACTACAGGGGTGGAAGGGTAAGAGGCACCTGGGGCCTGCAATGGGGAGCACATTGCTCAAGCCATGGGGCAGCTCCTGGATATGGCCATGGAATTCCATCAATCCCAGTCACATCTTTTCTTCATTTTTACCTCTCTCCTGGTATCCATCACTGTCCAGGACATAGTAGGAAGTAACCACGCTGGCCCTCAGCATCTGCCCAGCCCCTGGTCCCTGGGAGGCCCCCCAGCTGTGGAGTGGAGGACTGGTGGGTGGGATGTGAAAGGGCAGATCTCAGAAGGAAAACTTTTGGGCAAAGGCAGCAAGCTCTGAACACTGAGATGACCCTGTCCTCTTTTCAGCAGGCTGATGGCCCTGCTCTCGCTATATTGCTCACCCCATGTTTCTCTCAGGACACAGCTGAGAAAACTCAGCAAAGGCTCCATCTCCCCCACTCTTCCTGCAGGGCCCACCCAGCTGGGCCTCCCTGCCAGCAGCTGGAAATTCCCAGAACCACTCTCACTTTCTTCCTACAATAACACCGTCCTCTGAGCAGACAACTGCTCCCAGCCATCCTCACAGTGAGGAGCCCAGCTCCACATGCAACCCTAAGTCAGAGGGAAGTCCTTCCCAAAGCTTCTGGCTCCATGCCCCCTCCGCAGAGCATCTGGCCCTTCTCCTAATGATGGGTCCTCTCCTCTACCCTCTACCTTCCCAACTAGCCTTCAGACCACCACACACTGATTTGACGGAAACTTGGAGGCAATAGACCCAAAGCACTCCTCATGGTATGGTAGTCTACCCGAGTGGTTAGGCTCACAGATCCTATAACCAGCCTACACATCCCTCCTCCACCACACACTGGCTGTGTGGCCTTGGACAAGTTACCTTACCTCTCTGAGCTGCATTCCCTCATCTCTACTTCTTCCTAGACTCCTCATAAGGATTAAGGGAATCAATGTCTGGAAAGTGTTTTATAAGGGTCTCAGCACATCATTGGTGCTCAAGAGAGGAATTGTGCTATCCTCATCATCACTGCAAATTAACATAGTTTGTTAACTGGCTAGCAGAGCCACTACTGACTAATCTGTGGCATATGGTCCCCAGTGACCCTAACAGATCCTGTTGTGGGGCACATTGGCTGGGCCAGGTCAGTCTCTAACCCTATACCCAAAGCTGCGTCAGCACTGTGGAGGTCGGGGGCGGGCACAGAAGAACATTATCCTTAAGGAAGAGGCAACATCACAGGCAAGATAAGACTAATTCACAAAGCAATTAGTAAAAAACACAAGATAGCTTAAAAGTACTAAATTGTTCAGTGCAAACTATAATTGTGTTAATAGTAAGAACCATTTGTATGGCATTTGAGAGTTTACCCAGCACTTGGAAATACATTATTTCATCTCATGTAATCCTCAAAGCAAACCAGCAAGGTAAGTACAGATGTTCCTCAACTTACATAGTTACATCCCAATAAACCCTTCATAAGTTGAAAATGCATTTAATACCCTCAACCTACAGAAACATCATCGTTTGGCCTCGCCTACCCTAAATGTGCTCAGAACACTTACATTAGCCTACTGTTGGGCAAAGTCATCTGTCAACACAGCACACTGTGGAATATGGGCTATTTATCCTCATGATCACAGGATTTTATCGCCATCCTAAAGTTGCAAAGTCCTAAGTCAGGGATCATCTGTTTCGTTAAATGCAGATGAGGAAACCACGGCTCCCAGAGATTAAATGGCTTAGTTGTGATCACTACCAGTAAGTGGGTGATGCAGAAAAGAAAGGCTCCACCCTGATTCTTACTTCATCTAGTACTAAGATCCTTGTTTTTTCCACTGTGTGTGTGTGTGTGTGTGTGTGTGTGTGTGTGTGTGTGTGTGTGTGTAGGAGAGAGATAGAGAGAGAGAGAGACAGACAGACAGACGGACAGAGAGAGAGTCTCCTTGGGACTGGGTGAGACTTAGACATCTGAAATTTATTTCCTCCCAGTTCTAGAGGATGGAAGTCTCAGATCAAGGCACCCTCAGGGTTGCTTTAGTTCTGGGGCCTCTCTCCTTGGCTTGCAGATGGCCACCTTCTTCCTCTGACTTCACACGGTTTTCCTTTTGTGCATGCATGTCTATGGTCTATGTCCTAATTTCCTCTTATAAAATAAGGGATGCCAGTCCCACTGGTTGAGGGCCCAGCATAAGGACTTCGTTTTAATTAACTACTTTTTTAAAGACCCTATCTCCAAATACAGTTACATTCAGAGATACTGTACGTTCAACATATAGTGGAAGTGACACAATTCATCTCATGTGTGTGTGTGCATGTGTGTGTATGTGTGTTACAGGGGTGGGCACTTCTCCAGACTTCATCTCACTCTCGTCCTTCTTCTCATTTCCCCAGGACTCCCTGTGACCAGTGTAGCCTCAATTCAGGTTTCCTGTCGATGTGCGCTGTGCCTGGTGTGACCTTCTTCTGGGCCTCCCTCACTGGCATGGTGGCCTCTCAGAGCTGGATAGGTCCCAGAACCATTCAGTGGATGGGGTTTCCTTGTGACCTTGGTCCTGGCCAGAGGTCCTCAGAATATAGGAGCAAAGAAAAAGGAGCCACCTGCATGGGCCTGCCCACAGCAGGCATCAGTGCCAGTTACAGAAACCAGGAAAGCAGGGCTGCAGCGGCCCCTGGAGGACTCCTGGAGAAGCACGGCCATCTCCCAGACCAATCCAAGAAAGGAAGATGGCAGGAGGACTCAGGAGTAGGGCCAGGGCCTGGGGAAGGATGGAGGGAAGCAGGCAGCAGAGCAAGCCCCATAAGATTGTGCCCGCTGACACAGGAGGCTGTGTATGAGGAGAAATAAACATCTAACTGGAGGCTCCGATGTGTGGGTTCAAGTCCTGGCCTCTCTGTTCCCAGTGTTGCCACACCGGTAAGTTACCTCATCTCTCAGAGCCTGTGTTCTTACCCACAACATGGGGGAAACAGTAGCACTTGCTTCACACGTTGCTGTCAGGATTAAATGAGCTAATTTTGGTAAAATGCCACCTGGCACACAGTAGGTATTAACAGGGCTGCACAGTAACTTTTGTGGGTACTGGGCACTTTTGCTTTCATGGGTATCTTCCTCTATAAAAAAATATATTTAAAATTCTATGGTAAAACTGTATTAGAAGAAAAATGAATAAAATCCCAGCTGGATTATACTCACTGTTTTATTTTGGTTTTAAAAGAACTACAGACATTTTCATGGGTCTTTAATGAATGGTGGCCCCTAGGCATTGGGCCTATCATATCTAATGGGTAAGTGGCCCCAGGGGCTGCATCAGTGTCTGCTGCTGTGGATGTTAAAATGTCTCAGAAACTGCCAAGTGTCCTGGCTGGTAAGGAGTCACTGTCACTCCTTTAAGAACACTCCTTCTGTCCTCCTGGGGTCCAGCATCCCTGTCCTCCCCTCTGGGTACTGATTGCAGTAACCCAAAGTCCAGTCTTCCAGCACAGGGTGCCACAGGCCTTCCCTTTAGTCCCATGGAGATGTGCGGCTGGGATGTTCTGATGGGGAATGCCCTGCAGGGGTTGCACCTGGGTGAGCAGTGCCTTTAGATCTTGAGGCAGGCAGGGGAAGAGGGCTCTGGAGGACAGATGTCCACTAGGTCATTTCACAGCAGCCCCCAGGGTGGTGGCAACAGCGTCCTCTAGTGGCAAAAAAAAATCCCTCCATCTAATGCCTGCCTCCCCTGCCCTTTTAGGGGCCTCCAGCATCCAAGATATGGGGCTTGTATTGCTGTTCATGTGTTTGTCTAAAACTCTCCTCAACCCACACATGACTGAAACCTGATGAATTGGATTGGAGCTTGAGTCAAATAGGCTCAATTCCAAGTGATGTATGAGCAACAGGGCACCTTGACATTGATGCCAATGCTTTCCCACAAAGCCTCCATTTTTGGAGGGTGAGCCCCACCTCAGCCTCTATGGATGCCACCACCACCAGGGCCACAGGCTCATGCCTTCTCTGCTGGCCCCTCAAGCCTGGGCCAATGCAGGGCAGCACAGTGATGCCACACACACCTCAGCCCACCACTCAGCAGCCCCCAGGGCTGCCCCGAGTCCTACAGCTCTTCTAGGAAGGGACCTCCCCACAGGACATGCCATCTCCATCACAATGAAAAAACATTTTATTCCAGGGATTCCCAACACGTGAACAGGGTGGAAGCCTCTGACAAGGCGGGCCAGAAGCTTTGGATTTGGTTTGGGGGCCAAATCAACTAAGGCTCAGAGACCATATAAGGCCTGCATGCAGGCGGTGAGCCACCCCCACCTTCACAGGTCTGGGGTCCTAAACCCCTGGAGCCATGGTCAATCCTGTGCCCAAGGCTCTTCTTTTGCAGGCCATGAAACTTTCACTACAGCTGTGACACTGCTGCTCGAGCCAGGGAGGGAGGGGGTACTTCTGGCAACTGTTCACACCCCCTCACTCAGCCTCCCTGATGACCGGGCACAGAGAAGCCAGGGAACAGAGCAAAGCCAGCTGGCTCCAGACCCAGCTAAGCAGCCTCCCAGGAACCTCCTAACCTATGCTTAATGGGGAGGGTGCACAAGGCAGCTTAGAGGGTGCACCTCCCTGGGATCTGAAGCCGAAAGGAAGCCACCTCCAGCCAGGCTACTGGGAGGCGTTCAGAACACGGCCCTTCCACCGCCGGCTAAGGTCCTCAATGGTGTCCCGAAGCATCAGCGTCCAGGAGTCACCTCTCCGCATCGGGGTGCAGTGTGTCTCCTTGTGCTCCAGGGCTACAATCTCCACAGGAGTCTCAGGAGTCAGGCCAGCAGCCAGGACAGCTTCCGGGAACTTGGCTGCAGAGGCAGGGGCCAGGCAGCACCGGGGAGTGCTGCTGGGGATGGGGGCAGGTGGCAGCAGGAGGACAGTGAGAGAATAGATAGACGGATGGGAAAGGAAAAGATGGAGGAAGAAGAAGGAACAGGGGAAGTTTAGGGATAGTGTGAGGTATGGAGGAGACAGACACAGACAGACGATTGGCACCTCAAACTTATTGCTACAATAATGCTACCTGGGCAAATTCCTCCTCCTGGTTGGAGGCCAGCTCAGCCACCAACTCTGCCCATGGCTGTCCTTGGGATACCTGTCATGCTCCCTCTTCTAGGCCCACAGTTTCCAGGGCCCAGTTCCACACAGCACCCATCACACTCCATTACAGCCATTTGTTCCCATTCCTGTCTCTCCCGCTGCTTGGAGAAGAAGAGGGCCCCTGAAATTCAAATGGTCCTCCAGTGACCCAGGCCCCCATAGCCTATACCTGGTCTGCTGCCTGTCCATCTGCTGGTAATGGTAGTTCACGGCCACCGCCGAGTGGGGGCACAACAAGTACTGGTTCTCGTCCCAGCAGCGGCCCATGGTCTGGGTGATGGCTTCATCCGACACTGACTCAGATGTCATTGCCTCTGAAAGCTGAAGGGTCCCAAGTCAGAAGGATGAGACTCAGTGTAGGGGGAAGCAGGGAAAGATGACAAAACCCCACTGTCCACCACAGACCCACACAAAACCCAAGGATCCAATGGAACATTCAGACAGAATGGCTCAGATGCAGCTCACAATAAAATACAGCCTCCCAGTTTTGAGCTGACTCACTCAATTTTAGGATCCATTTGCGTTTTATGTCAATCCGTTTAGTTGGGATTTGTCTCTTAGTCAACAAATAAAGATTTGTTCAACAACCTGCCATAGCCAGAAGGCTTCGGGCAGCCACATATCTGGTGCTTGGTTGTTGGCACACCTCCTTCTTGTCAGTTCCTATTCAGCTCACCAAGCACTTCCTCCAGGAAGCCCTCTCTGCTTCCTTCAGACAGAGGAGGACTCCCTTGTCAGTGTGTTTGGTTTATTTGATCATCTTCTGAAAATGTACTGCATGCTTACAATACATCAAGCACCCTGCATATACTTGACTGCAATAAAGATCACAGCTGTTTTTCTTTTCTTTTTCTGAGACAGTCTCTCTCTGTTGCCCAGGCTGGAGTACAGTGATGCAATCTTGGCTCACTGCAACCTCCACCTCCCAGGTTCAAGTGATTCTCCTGCCTCCGCCTCCCAAGTAGCTGGGATTTACAGCCACGCACCACCATGCCCAGTTAATTCTTTTTTTTTTTTGGTAGAGACAGGGTTTCACCATGTTGGCCAGACTGGTCTCAAACCCTCGACCTCAAATGATCTGCTTGCATCGGCCTCCCAAATTTCTGGGGTTACAGGCCGTGAGCCACCTTACCTAGCTGGTATCATAGATTTTCATATTAGCTACCTGCTGTGAATTAGGGTTCCCAGCAGGCAATGAATGTATTTTACTTGTGTTTCTCACACCTAGCACAGTTCCTGGCTCACAGTAGATATATAACATGAATGGATGAATGCCATTCCAGCAAGTAAAGTGTCTTCTATGTGTATAGCCAGAGAGAGAATGAAGGAGTGGGGGGGGGGTATGGTGTCTGTCTTCACGGAGAACCTCATTTATATGAGAAGGAATGTGAATGTCAAAACAAACCATTAACCAAACAAATTGATCTTTGGGTGCATCAAAAGAGGCACAGATTCCAGAAGGCCAAAATTCTGCTCCAGTCTGCACTGGTATGGCTCAGCCTGGAGAACTGTATCCAACTTTGAAAACAACACTTTAAGATGGATAATGACCACGCAAAATTACATCATGCAAGGGACCACTAAAGGAAGTGAGAAGACTAACTTGGTAAATGAGGATTCTCTTTAAATACAGGAAATACTAGGATATAGAATCAGGCTGTGTAAGCTAGGAGCAGATTCCAGCTCAACATAAAGACTTTTGTAATGGTGAGAGCTGGTGTGAGGCAGTGAGGGCCAGGTCACTGGAGGTATGCACAGTCTGGATGGCCACTCAGAGGACACCTGTTTCTTGAGCTCTGAGCCAGTCACTTGTACTGCCACTTTACATGCAATAATTGATTGAATGAGGAGAGGTAACAGAGAACATGGTTTAGAGTCAAATGGCCTGAATCCCAAGTGAGCTCTGAGACACTGGGCCAGTTTCCTAAACTCTGTGCCTCAGTTCCTTCATCTATAACATGTGGATAGTAAACCTCATAGAGTTGTTATGAGATTTAAGTCAAATAATATACATGATGCACTTTGCATACTTCCTGATAATATATGGCTTGATATATTAGCTTAGTTTTACTTATTATGGGTGTTAATTTCTAATAATTTTGGCAACTGGGAACCATTTTGCCCATCCAGTATGAACAGAGACCATTGTTCCTGTTGAGTTCGCCCCTCCCTCTTTCCCTCCCTCCCTTCCTCAAGAAACAGGTGTCCTCTTCCCCTGACCAGACTTCCAAACCCCAGGTCTGCAATGTGGCTATACTCTTTCCTTTCTCTGTGGTGTGTGGGTAGTGACTGACCTTGCTGTGCAGTTCCTTGGGCAGATTCAGACTTTGAGTCCTTTCAAACTGCTCCATGAGCGCTCTTGTCACCTGGCTGTCAGAGCCAGAGAGCAGCCAGAATACCCTCTCCATGTTATAGGGTACCTAGGCAGAAAGTCAGTTTCAGGCCCACACTGATCTCAGCCCCATCCAGCCCCACCCAGCCCCACCCAGCCTCAACTAATACCTGGGCCAGATCTGCACACCTCCCCCAGGCCTACCTGAATGTCCATAGCTGATGCCAAGGTTGATTTAACAGCCTCAGACAGAGAGAAGTCTCCCTGCTGGACAGTCCTGTGGACAATGTCATTGCGGTTCACTGCCACAACCAGGCGGATGGGCAGGCCTATCTTCTGAGCAATGTACCCAGCTTAAGACAAGACAGGAGAACAACAGCTTTTTAGAAAGAAAATAAAAAAGTAAATTGGGCTTCATCAAAATTAAGAAACTTTTGCGTTTTGAAGCTTTTGTGCTTTAAAAACGATACGATCAAGAAAATAAAAAGGCAACTCACAGAATGGGAAAAAATGCAATTCATATATCTGATAATGTACTTGTATCTAGAATATATAAAGAACTGTTGCAGCTCAACAATAAAAATACAAATAACCCAATTTAAAAATGGACAAGCTGGGCGTGGTGGCTCAAGCCTGTGTAATCCCAGCACTTTGGGAGGCCGAGGCGGGTGGATCACGAGGTCAAGAGATCGAGACCATCCTGGTCAACATGGTGAAACCCCATCTCTACTAAAAATACAAAAAATCAGCTGGGCATCGTGGCGCATGCCTGTAATCCAGCTACTCAGGAGGCTGAGGCAGGAGAATTGCCTGAACCCGGGAGGCGGAGGTTGCGGTGAGCCAAGATCGTGCCATTGCACTCCAGCCTGGGTAACAAGAGTAAAACTCCGTCTCAAAAAAAAAAAAAAAAAAAAAAAAAATGGACAAAAGAACAGGTATTCCTTCAAAGAAGACATACAAATGGCCAATGAGCACATGAAAAGATGTTCAACATCATTAGTCATGAGAGAAATATAAACAAAAATCACTAGACATCACTTCACACCCTCTAGGAGGGTTAGAATCAAGATGACAGATAATAAGTGTTGGTGAGGATGTGGAGAAACTGGAAAATTCCTACACTGCTGGTGGTGACATAAAATGGTGCAGCCACTTCGGAAAACTGAAGTCTGTCAGTTCCTTAACATATTAAACAGAGAATTATCATATAACCCAGAAATTACACTCCTAGTTACATACCAAAAAGAAATAAAAACATATGTTCACATGAAAACTTATACACAAATGTTCACTATGGTATTATTCATAACCGCCGAGCTGTTAAAACAATCCAAATGTCTATCAGCTGATAAACTGATAAATAAAATATACCACTGTATGGTATATCCACATAATAGCGACAGTACTGATATATGATACAACATGGATGAACCTTGAAAACATCATACTAGGTGAAAGAAGCCAGGCACAAAAGACCACATACTCTGATTCCACTTATAGAAAATGTCTAGAATAGGAAAATCTATAGAAACAAAGTAGACTCATGGTTGCTGAGGGCTGGCGAAGGAGGTGGTCTAAGGAAAAGTCAGGAGTGACTACTAATGGGTATAGCGTTCCTTTTCAGCATGATGTAAACATTCCAAAATTGATTATGGTGATAGTCGCACAACTCTGTGAATATATTATACTAAAAACCACTGAATCATATATTTAAAATGTGTGAATGGTATGTGAATCATTTAGCAATAAACCTGTTACACACACATACACACAGAGAGAGAGAGAGAAGAGAGAGAGCAAGCGAGCGAGAGAGCAGAGAATGACTAGGAGCACATCACCACACCATGAGGCAGTTCTATGAGTCAGCCCCCTGCCAGGTGCCAAAGTATTTAATAGATGGCTGACTACTGTAAAACACCAATTTTTGGAAGAGGAAATGAAAGTTCCAAGAGGTCAAAATGAGCTGTCCGAAGGCTGTGAAGTGTCAGAGTCAGGATTCAAAATACACCCACGTCCAGAGCACATACCCTCCCTTGACTCAGCTTCCTAGAGTCAGTAGCTTCAGACTACATTCCCTGCACAGGCACCAGGGGAGACCAGAGCTGCACCCTCAGTCCATCCCAACAGCAGGTCTTGTTTTCACGGGACAAGCAAGGAATTCCTCCCCCTGAGAGGTGTAGAGCCCAAACACGTCACATCATTTAGTAAGGTTTTACACATGGTGCTTTCATGAGCAGTTTACCTCTGGTGAGTAGCTAAGAGGAGTTAGGGACAACCACACCATCTAATATCACTCTTAACTTGGAAAAACACTTTCTCATTCTTTTTTTTTTTTTTTTTTTTTTTAAATGAGACTGAGTCTCTGTTGCCCAGGCTAAAATGCAATGGTGCAATTTCAGCTCACTGCAACCTCCACCTCCTGGTTAAGCAATTCTCCTGCCTCCACCTCCTGAGTAGCTGAGATTACATGCATGCACCACCATGCCTGGCTAATTTTTGTATTTTTAGTAGAGATGGGGTTTCACCATGTTGGCCAGGCTGGTCTTGAACTACTGACCTTAATTTTCTCATTCTTACTTCACCTGATCCTCATGAGAACATCATGATATCCTTGCCTGACAGAGGAGAAATGGAGGCTCAGGAATGTCCAGGGCCTTAAAGCCAAAGAGTTGGTTCATGACAGAGGAAAGATGGATAGAAACACCCTCAGCAAATGCTGGCCACGTGTTTATTTTGTATCAAGCACTGTGGTAGGCTCTGGGCCGCAGAGGGCCACTGGCTGCACAACTTGGTGCATCACTAATTGGAGGGTGATAGGAATGGGGAGCATGGTGGGCTTTACCCCACAGTGGCAAAGAAGCCCATCCCTCCTTGCCTGCCAGCCCACTGTTCTCTCCATCCCCGTTAGTGGTAGAGGTCAGGAAGCTTCCTAACCACTAAGATGCTTCTGTGCTCTCAGCTAGACCATCCTTGGTGCCCATCAGAACCAATGCCATTGCTGGAACTATCAGGAACAGTAATTCCCCTATCCTTGTCAGCGCTGCAGCCAGACTGCCTGGGTCACGCTCCTTGCTCCACTGCTGCCCAACTCTGTAATCAGGGCATGACTGCTTTCTTTGTGTCTTTGTTTCCTCATTACAAAACGGAAAACATCCTCTCCACAGGAGGATAAATGAGTTAATACATGAAAAGCACTTAGAACAGTGCCAGTTGCACAGTAAGTCCTTGATAAATATTAGTGATTATTAGAGAAATGATTTTAATGCTACATAGGTGTACAGCACTTTGCCCTTACAAAGTCTGCATGCACACAGGAATCTTATTTGCTCATCGAGGCAGTCCTGGGAGATATGATGATACAATCTCATTTTATAGCTCAGAGGTTGGGTCTAAAGGACTGCTCCACAGCCTCTCAGCTAGTAAAGAACAGAACTTGGGCCAGAACCCCAAGTCCAGAACTTTTTCCACTTTACATGGGGTCAGGGTAGTGTGTCCAGGAGTGAGAACATATGTGCCAGTCAAGCCACTTGTCCTCACAGTGGGTAGCTGACCAGGGTTGGGAGCAAAGTCCACATTTCTGATTGAGGGCACTTCCAGCCAGACCAACAGCCGATCCTTGATCTTACCTCTCCACACTCTGCTGAGCCAGCAAGCACATTGGATCAGACTGCAGGAGCACTCGGGGTTAACCCATCACCCTCTGATGGTAGCAGGAGCCCAGGATGCTGCCCCAGGCAATGAGGTGGGACATCTTCTGGGAGCTTCTTCTGTGGGCTTTCCCATCACCTTCAGAACTGGGACTCCACCTTCTTTCTCCTCACAGTTGCAGCCAAAGGGCAGCTACAAGGACTGGGGCCACAGGCATTTTTCTGGAAAGCCCATTTGTGCCCCGGGAGCTCCTTACCTGCAAGGTTACCAGCAGCCCCTGTTGGCACAACCACCTCCACCAGGGGTAGGGGATGCGTGTCCAAGGACGGTGCACACTGGAAGTATGCAAAGAAGTGGTGGGCCATCTGCACCAGTATCCGGGACCAGTTGATCGAATTCAGGCTCATCAGATTGTGCTTCTTGGCAAAAACCGTATCAGCAAACACGGCCTTGATCGGCTCATCAAGCTCATCGCTGTTTCCCTCCACTGCCAGGGAGAGAAGAGAGGGCAGCTGTCAGGAGCATGTAGAATCCCCAGGAGGTCAGCACTCACCTGTGACAAGGCCCTCCCAGGCTAAGCCCAACCTCCTGGGACCTTCGCACAGCATTGGTTTCTTTACTTTCACATAGCTTGGCCTCACTTTCTAGACTCAATGTTAAGGTCCTCAAGGACAGAAACCATGCCCCAGATTCCTGTGTTCCTAAAGATCTGCCCTAGCTCAGAACAAAAAGGGCAGCCAGAACCAGTTCCAATGTTTCTACCATTATCTAAAATAAGATAACAAATGTCAAACTTCTGTGATACTGGGAGAATTTCTCTTCGTATTCCATGCCCACTTCCCCCACTCTTCCACAGAGGAGGAACTGTGTGCCTGATTGTGAGATGGTAAGAGAACTAGCCTTTCCTCCACAGTCCTCTATCAGGGGCCAAGGTGGAAACTGTCACCATTCCCCTGTGCCCTCTGCCCTCATTTAGATCACATGGTAGGGGTTCTGCTCTCTGCTCCTGCAAGGCAGGTAAGCTTACATGGACAGAACTTCCCATCCCTGAAGCTGGGTGTGTGCATCAGTGTAATTTATGAGTGAATTACCGGATAAATTTATGGGTGAATTGCCTTCTAATAAAAGTTATATCCCCCAATCTAGCTCAATAAGCAATCAAGCCAATACTGATTTCTTATCTGATGCCTGAGTATTTCTCCATTGGATCTACATTTGGGAGGGGAGAGGGGTGAAATTTACCGGCCCATCTCCCAACGCAGACCCAATTAAGGTAAGGCTGCACTGTCCCCAGAGACTCTGCCTCAGCACACACCTCCAAACACATGGACGTTCTCCTTCAGCACTGTTGTCATCTGAAGCTCCTGAATCTTTGTGCAGTGACCTTTGGGCAGCAGAACGATAATGTCCACGTTCTTTGCCCCTTGAACACTCTCAATGGCAGCACTTCCTGTGTCCCCAGACGTTCCTGGATGGGAAGAAAGAAGAACTTGCCCCCTTTAGAACAAAGGGAATGAATGAGGAAACAAATGGTCCCCAAAGCACTGTTGTCAAATAAAGCAACATCTACTTCAAATACTTGGAGGATATGAACCTAGCACTCTACCTAGGGTCCATGGATCCACAGATAAAATTCAGGGTATCAGTGAACTTGTGAACGACATCATCTTAAGCATTTTGGGCATTTCAAACATTACTCTGAGAAAGATCCACAGCCTCCATCAGTCTGGCAAAGGGGTCCATGGCACCAGAAAAGGTTAGGAACCCTGCTCTGGAAGAACTGGTAACATAGTCCCTAAGTGGCTCAATGAATGACATCCTATAGGTGGACGCCCCACACTCAGGTATTCCGCATTCATGCCCCGAAACATACCTACGACCACAGTGACATGCTTCTCCTTCTTCTCCAGGAAGTACTGTAGGAACTGTGCTGTGCAGGACAGGGACAGGTCCTTAAATGCATATGTGACGCCATGCCACAGCTCCAACACGTTCAGCCCATTCCTCAACCTGGACAGATGGACCACCTCTCTGTGACGAAATCTGCTGAAGGCTCGGTCAATCAGATCTGTGAGGATGGGGGGTTGGAGAGCCACTGAGGGGCCTGGTCTCTTTCTCAAGTCCCCTCTCAGTCTCTGAATATAAAGTTTCCAACTCCTGCTACTAAGTTAAAAGGCCAGAAATTTTCATCTTAAATGATACCATTTTTGAATACAATTGTATAAACCTAGAAAAAAGTCTGGGAAAACATACACCAAACTGTTCATAGATTCCTTATAGTGATTTCTCCAGAGACCAGAACTGGTACTAGAAGACTTTATTTTTCACTTTTTATACTTCATTGCTTAACTGTCTTGTGAGCAAGTACTCCAATCAGGGATCAATTAAATAGCTACATAACACAATAATGTCACATCCCATCTAATGTTCCTTCCTAAAAAGAGGAAGCTTTTTCTTTGCTGCATTACTAGCTCTCACACCTGTGACACCAGAACCTTTGGATGGTTGATATACAATCGTCCCTAAAGCAAACTGTAGAAGTCCTGGAGCAGAGCTTCTCAAACTGTCACGGGCAAACCAAGCCCCTGGGATCTTGTTAAAATGCAGGCTGGTTCAGTCAGCAGGAGGGAGTCTAGGATTTCCAACAAATGCCCAAGCAATGCCATCACTGCTGGTCACTGGACTGCATTTTAAGTGGTCGTTTCTCTTGCCAACCCCAAACCACCACCACTATGTTATGGATTTTGTACTTGCTACTTAAAGTGTGGTTCATGGACCAGTAGTCTAGTATTATCTGGACATTTGACAGAAATGCAGAATTCTCACACCTACCCCAGACCTACTAAATCAGAATTTGCTTTTTAAGAAGATCCCCAGGGGAATCCATAGGCACATTACAGCTTAAGACAAGCTGATCCCAGACAGTCTTGAAGTCCCCTCTGGAATTACCATTCAAAAAACAAAATAGCAATTTGGGGGTCTGGGTGCTTTATGTGCAGGAAAGAAACACCGCAACATTCAAGTCACTAAAGATAATTCTAAAATCCCTAGTCTTGAAGAGGTTTTTGAAGAAAGAAAGAAAGAAAAAGGGAGAGAGAGAAAGAAAAAGAGAAGGAAAAGAGAGGAAAGAAAGAAAAAAAGAGAGAGAGAGAGAGAAAGAAAGAAAGAGAAAGAAAAGAAAAGAAAAGAAAGAAGGAAGGAAGGAAGAAAGGAGGGAAGGAGGGAAGGAAGGAAGGAAGGAAGGAAGGAAGGAAGGAAGGAAGGAAGGAAGGGGGAAGGGGAGGGGGGAAGGAAGGAAGGAAGGAGAAAAGAGAGGAAGAAAGAAAGGGAGAGGCAGAGAAAGAAAGAAAAGGAAAGAAAGAATTCCCTGTAAGTAATTTCAACATTCATCTTGCTGGAGAAAGGATGAAATCTTTCAGAATATTTTCAGGTCTGGGATTCTAGAGTCAGGAAAAAAATCCCAAAGTTTGAGAAACGTGATTATAGACTTCTTAGTGGTTTGGTGATGGATTTGCAACTCTGTAGACTGAGCTGGCAGGGGCTGGGGAACTGGAAGTAGAGGTGGGAGTGCTCACCATTTAAGTCATCTTTTGGAATGAGCTCAGAGCCAATGAAGAGGGCGCACAGCTCCTTCACGAGGCCAGGATAGGAGAGTGTGCTCCACTGACACAGGGTCTCTCTGTCCAACTGTGGGAGCTCCTCAGGCATAAAGAGGCCTCCGTCGGACGCATAGCCAGAGAAGAGGGCCCCCTCAAAGTCGACCCGTGGGGCCATGCCCCTGGTGCTAACGTACCACATGATCCTGGAAGCCTGCAGAGGGGACAGTCCCAGAGGCACCTGGTCTCAAAGCTCCCACATCCCACGAGGCAAAGCCAAAGCACACACAGCTCCACAAGACCCACATACCAGGAAACCCCTCAATCCCAGGCAAAGATGGTTGGTCATCCTAGTGGATAACCAGGGTTCTACCTCTTAGCCTAATGCTAGGACAGTTAGAAGTGCTGACATGCAGTCTCTTTAAAACTAACTGGCCCTGCATGGACTGAGTTCTCTGGTTCCTAGGGAAGCCCAGAACACCTCAGGCCTAACTTCGGTCACACTTCCACGTCAGTCACTTTTCCAGGAGGCAGGTGCCATGTCAAGGAGCTGGGCTTGAACACCACCTTCCTCTGGAGCATGACAGTGAATTTAGGAGGACTGGCTTCAAAGCCCCATAGTAACTGGGGATGAATTTGATTAGACATACTTCTCAGTATTAGCTTGGACTTTCTGTGCCAGGATGGGAGGGAAACCCCTACACTCTGGGGGCAAAGCCACCCAAAGCCCTCTACCTACATGAAGGGTATGAACACTGACTTGGAGGAATTCTGGTTTCTTAGTCTGTGGCTCTAAAATCTGTGGGCCAGTGCAAGACTCACATGGGCTGCCACGTGCCACTCTCTTAATCACAAATTTAAGTGCATCTAACTTAGAGACAAAGACAAGCTGGATCATACAAACCATGAATCTTTTGAATGTGATTATGCTGGGACAACGGTATAAGCCAGAACTATCTCCGGCAACCCAGGACACAAGGTCACCGTGTATGTGAGTCCATGTCAAAGAGATGAAATCTGGGTTACTCCAAAAGTTAACTGCAGTGGACAAGCAAAGCAGGCACAGTGTTACAGAAAACAGAACGGGGCGGGGGGCGGGGGGCAGGGGCTAGCAGTGTCTTCCACAAAGAGAGGAATTTCTGCAATTCTGTAGTAAGAGTTAAAGCCATTGCAAACTGCCCAAGACCCTGGAGTAACAGAAAGAAAGCCTTCATAGGACCAGACTTAAATGCTACGCCTGAGCTGCCAAAGAAACCATGGCAGGAGTGAGGGCAGGAGCAGGCAGGGCCATAAGGTACAGCAGAAGAAAATATTTTTGAAATGTCCTTCCCTGGGTGGAAGGAACACCTCGGGCACTGGGAAGGAGGATGTAGAACAACTGTCCTGGAACAGTGGGCAGAGGGGCTGGCGCAGGGCTCTGCACAGGTCATGGAGGGAGCGGGCCTGATTAGCACAGACCCATGCCCTTCATACAACAGGACTGTCCCTGTTCTGTCCAATGGCCTCCAGGAGCAGCATTCCCAGGCCAAGAGAGCAGAGCTACAGAGACATACACATGATTGGGTTCCACGTAAGCCAGAGGCGGAATCAGCAACCGCAGGTGGTGGTGAAGTTGAGGAAAAAAACCAAGCGCTGTTGTGAGGCTGCTCTATGAGTGCTCCAAGCATGGGATGGGGACCTGGACTACGTGACCTCTGGGATTTTATATTCTAATAATTTTCCCGTGTAAGTGACTCCTCTGGAACCTATTCCAGAGTGGAAAAGGTCAGAGAAACTGTGACCAATAACCAGGGTAAATAAATAATACGGAAAACAGTAGTCCGAAGGCTGGGGACAGGAAGGTGGATGGAAGGGAGCTCCTCAGGGAGGTGGAGGGGCTTTGTGAGAATGGATGGAGCAAGGCAGAGACTCGGACGCCAGCAGCTCACGGCACTCCCGGCGGTGGAGGCCGGCCCCCGGCTCTCTGAGGCTGCCTGCACCAGTCATCCCTCCAAGGAGGGCAGCCCAAGCCCTCAGGGGCCTCGCAGGCGCCTGAGGTTCCACTCCCAGCCCCTGAATACACCGCGGACTTCGGTTTCGGGGTTCCCCAAGGACTGCCCAAACCCAGCAGAAAACGTAAAGCATCGGAAACCCCACCACCATCCTCCCACGTTCTCCTAAGTCCGAGGGCCGGAACTAAAGGTTCCAGAAACGGGGTGGGGGGGGCGGCGGACGCGGGCCTTCGGAAGTCAGGGCTGAGCGGAGCCGCGAGAGCGTCGGGAGCTCGGAAATCTCGCCCGCGACGACCCCGGGGCGGGCGCTGCGAAGCTGGCAGGCGTTACCCGTGCAGCGTGCGGGACGCGACTCGGCTACCCGGGAGGCTGACGTGCGCGCACCGGAGTCCGCGTCTTCGGCGGCGGCGTGGGGCTTCCGGTCGGGGCCGGGGCTGCGATTCTCAGTTCCGCAGCTGGAAGAACCTGGGGTTGAGGCGGGGGCGGAGTTCGGCGGAGAGGGCGTGGGCAGCGCTGCGGCAGGAGGGAAGCATCACGAGAGAGAAGCCTTGTGCGCCTCCCGCGGCCTATTTTTTAAGGCTCTTTACTAAACGCTTTATTCACCTTCAGCCTCTGAATCTTCACTGCAGGGCTGTGAGTCGCACAAAACCTCAGGTTTCAGCTTAGAAAATGGACAGAAAGATGCGAGGAAGAAAAACCCTGCGTTCCTTTAGGATTCTAGTTTCTCATCTGCAGCATCACAGGGCTGGACCAACGCCTTGGTCCTCAAACTGTGGTTAGTATGTTAAGACTTCAAGACCCACCAGGTAGGTGACATCCACTCAACTCCAAAATATGTTTTTTAAAATATATTTTTAAAATATATTCCATGCGACGGAACCAGAGCCCTTGCTAAGAATTAGGTTAGGGCCTAGACTTCTGGAGAAGAAAGCAACCTGCTAAAAGTCCTCCAGCTTTTGTGCAGGGCACAGGCCAGAATGCAGGCTGCTTCTAGTATCCAAGCTGGGCAAGGACAGCAGGGCAGAAGAGAGAGATGACATTCCAAGTCAGAACATACTGTTCTCTCTGAACATTTTTGAACTCCTAAATTGATAATCCATCATTTTACCAAATATGTGTAGTGGTTATTGGAGGAAATGGGGTAATATTTAAATTTAAGTACTCTGAATCACCCTCACTTCTTGAGTTTCTGACCCAGTAGCAAGAGTGCCAAATAAATAGGTAAAACATGACTTCCATAATTCCAGCTGCCTGTTTTGCAGAAATGATCCTAAAATTCATTTGGAGGTGCAAGGAACCCAGAGTAGCCAATATAATCTTGAAAAAGAAAAACAAAGTTGGAGGACTTATACTTCCTAATTTTAAATCCTGAATCAAGGCTATGTTAATCAAGATGGCCTGGTACTAGCATAAGGATAGACAAACAGATCAATGGGATAGAATTGAGAATCTAGAAATAAATCCATACCCATACAATCAATTGACTTTTGGCAAGGATGTCAAGACTATTCAATGGGGAATAAATAATCTTAAATAAATTATAATTGGACAACCGGACATCCATACACAAATGAGTGAGTTTGGATCCCTGCCTTACACCATATGTAGAAATTAGCTCCAAATGGATCAAAGACCTAAATATAGGAACTAAAACTATAACCTCTTAGAATTAAACATAGATTTAAATCATCATGACCTTGGATTAGGCAACAGTTTCCTAGATATGACACCTAAAGCAACAAAAGAGAAACAAAAGAGAAAACAGATAAATTGAACTTCATCAAAATTAAAACTTTTGTGCATTGAAGGACTATATTAAGAAAGTGAAAAGGCAAGGGGATTGGGGGAAGATGGCCGACTAGGAACAGCTCAGGATTACGGCTCCCAGTGAAAGTGCAGAGGGTAAGTGGACGCTGCATTAGAAGGATTTTTATTGCCCACAGACCAGGAGATTTCCAGGCGGAGGAGCCCCACAGGTCACCAGCGCGGCTCTTTTGGCCAGCGCGGCTGTTTTGGCCCATGCGACTGCTTTGCCCGCGCCCTGGCACGGTGGTTCTCCGTACGAAAGATGTTGGTCCAGGTGCCCTCTTAGCTGGCAATAGGAGCCCTGAGACGGCAGAGTCAGCCATTCATCTGAAATAGTGAGCCAGGTCAGGAGACTCCTAGGCAAAAAAAACTGCCAGGAATCTCAGTGCCGCTGTTTCAGCTGGCTCAGTGAGTCGCGGCATGGGAGATCCGGCGCCTTTTCAACAGCAAAAGAGTCTGCCATTCAACAACAACAACAAAAAAGACTCTGAGTCAGGGAGCCAGGTGATCAGGCTCAGCTGGTCCCACCCGCCCCCTCCACAAAAAGAAAAAAAACAGTAATTGAAAATGCTTTGGGTTGAGAGTTTCACAGCAAGCACAGCTGAACCCGGGAAGGTCTGGCTCGGTGGGGGAGGGGCGTCCGCCATTACAGAGACACTCCACCACTACGGAGGCAGTCTGACCATCACTGAGGCAACCCGCCATTGCTGGGGCAACCAGCCACTACTGAGAGAGTCTGCCATAACAGAGGCAGGCCACCATTGCCAAGGCAGTTCTAACTACACCCATATAAACAGGACTGCAGGGAAGATCACACGGCAGCTGGGCGGAGCCCACAGCAGCTCAGCAAAGCCTCTGCAGGCAGACAGTGACTAGTCTGCCTCCTCGCTGGGCAGGGCAGCACTGAAAGAAAGAAGAAAAAAAGAAGGCAGCAGCACAACGGAAACTCATAAATAAAGCCCTAACTCCCTAGGAGAGAGCACCTGGGGTAAAAAAAAAAAGGGGGAGTTTATGAGTTCTGCTGCAGCAGACCTAAACGTACCTGCCCAGCAACTCTGAATGAACAATGGAGCTCACAGCTCAGTACTTGAGCTCCAATAAAGGACAGACTATCTCCTCAAGCAGCTCCCTGACCCCCATATATCCAAAGAGTCACCTCATAAAGGAGAGAACAGACTGACATTTGGCAGGAATCCTTATGGGACAAAGATAGCAGAAGAGGAAACTGGTAGCAACCTGTACTGTTCTGCAGACGCTGCAGGTGATCCTCCAGCAAGCAGGGCCTGGAGTGGACCTCAGCAGTCCTACAGCAGAGGGCCAGACTGTTAGAAGGAAAGCTAAGAAAAAGAAGTAACTTCGGCATCCACAAACTGGAAGTCCACTCAGAGACCCAATCTGAAAGTCAGTAACTACAAAGACAAGAGGTGGATAAACCCACAAAGATGGGAAGAAACCAGTGCAGAAAGGATGAAAACACCTGAAACCAGAACACTTCTCCTCCTACAAGGGATCACAACTCCTCACCAGCAAGGGAACAAGGCTGGATGGAGAAGGAGTGTGATGAAATGACAGAATCAGACTTCAGAATGTGGGTAATAAGAAACTACAGTGAGCTAAAAGAACGTGTTCTAACCCAATGCAAAGAAACTATGAACCTTGAAAAAAGATTTGACGAAATGTTAATGAGAATGGACAACATAGAAATATAAGTGAATTGATGGAGCTAAAAAACACAACAGGAGAATGTCGCGAAGCATGCACAAGTTTCAACAGCCGAATTGACCAAGCAGAAGAAAGGATGTCAGAGGTCGAAGATCAACTCAATGAAATGAAACGAGAAGGCAAGAATAGAGAAAAAAGGGTAAAAAGGAATGAACAAAGTCTCCAAGAAATGTGGGACTATGTGAAAAGACCTAATCTACATCTGATAGGTGTACCTGAATGTGATGAAGAGAATGAATCCAAGCTGGAAAATACTCTTCAGGATATTATCCAGGAAAACTTCCCCAACCTAGCAAGGCAGGCTAATATTCAAGTCCAGGAAATACAGAGAACCCCACAAAGATATTCCTCAAGAAGAGCAACCCCAAGGCACATAATCGTCAGATTCACCAGGGTTGAAATGAAGGAGAAAATGCTAAGGGCAGCCAGAGAGAAAGGTCGGGTTAACCACAAAGGGAAGCCCATCAGACTCACAGCAGATCTCTCAGCAGAAACCCTACAGGCCAGAAGAGAGTGGGGGCCAATATTCAACATCCTTAAAGAAAAGAAATTTCAACCCAGAATCTCCTATCCAGCCAAACTAAGCTTCATAAGTGAAGGAAAAATAAAATCCTTTGCGAACAAGCAAGCACTCAGAGATTTCATCACCACCAGACCTGCTTTACAAGAGCTCCTGAAAGAGGCTCTACACATATAAAGGAATAACCAGTACCAGCCACTCCAAAAACATACCAAATGGTAAAGAACATCAACATAATCAAGAATCTGTATCAACTAATGAACAAAACAGCCAGCTAGCCTCAAAATGGCAGTATCAAATTCACACATAACAATATTATCCCTAAATGTAAATGGACTAAATGCCCCAATCAAAAGACACAGACTGGCAAATTGGATAAAAAGCCAAAACCCATCAGTGTGCTGTAACTAGGAAACCCATCTCACATGCAAGGATACACAAAGGCTCAAAATAAAGGGATGGAGGAAGATTTACCAAGCAAATGGAGAGCAAAAAAAAAGCAGGAGTTTCAATTCTCGTCTCTGATAAAATAGACTTTAAAGCAACAAAGATCAAAAGAGACAAAGAAAGACATTACATAATGGTAAAAGGATCAATGCAACAAGAAGAGCTAACGATCCTAAATATATACGCACCCAATACAGGAGCACCAAGATACATAAGGCAAGTTCTTAATGACTTACAAAGAGACTTAGACTCCCACACAATAATAGTGGGAGACTTTAACACCCCATTGTCAATATTAGACAGATCAACCAGACAGAAAATTAACAAGGATATCCAGGACCTGAACTCAGACCTGGACCAAGCAAACCTAACAGACATTTACAGAACTCTCCACCCCAAATCCACAGAATATACATTCTTCTCAGCACCACATCACACCTACTCTAAAATTGACCACATAATTGGAAATAAATCACTCCTCAGCAAATGCAAAAGAATGGAAATCATAACACACAGTCTCTCAGACCACAGTGTAATCGAGTTAGAACTCAGAATGCAGAAACTAACTCAGAACCGCACAGCTTCATGGAAAC